ATTATCATGTCAGTCATATGATGTCAGTGCCATTGTCATTTGTCACTGTCCTTCCTCTTTCCTCCACCCTCCCCCAACTGTGTGCATATGTGTATAAGGGACAATGACCTGTACGGAGGACAGTGAAGACATAGGTCTGCTGTTTTGTTGAAGTGCAGGTTTGTGTCTGAGGGGAAGAAGGCCCTGGTAGAGGAAAGAAGAGATATGGGGGCATAGGTCATTTAAGTATTAAGGTGGAAAGATTTTCATGATTGATTACAATGTGGAGGTGGGTGAACGTGGCACAATATGAATATCTGGTTGTGTCCCTCTGTTCAAACAGAATTGTATTAATGATGTATTGTACTGCACTTTAACATTTGTTGAGTAAAATAAAAATTAGTCTCCAGTGGTATTCTATCAACATTTTTGCATTTCAATTGAATGCTTGCGGAAATTTATCTTAGCTGTGAGGTATCCTACTGTTAATTCCAACTCATGGCTTTGGTGAGCTATTTGATACTCTCTCAACGTGAGGAATACATTGTCTATTCCAAGCTCTTTCTAGGGAGTGTCTACTTCTATCTGTTACCTGTTTGAGAGAATCGATGTAGGAATCCAGCAAATTGAATGATTTTGACTTTAATTACTAGCAGGGAGACGATCCAAATAAAATAATTTTTTAAAAATCATCGTGAATGTAGATTTGATTACCTTGCAGCAATAATTTTAGCTGCATCTGTAATAATGTCATACCCTTGTCTATCACTGTTAACTGGGTAATTGGATTGGATCTTTTGTTAATACGGTTGGTCAGTTTACACACAGAGTCGTTGAATGAGCTGTGCAGAACTCCAATGAAAATGTGTTGCAATTTTATAGAGTAAAACATTTCACGTGAAAGGAGGTATTATTGACTCTGGGAATTTGGGTACAGTTGGCAGCGTTCTCTAAAAGTTCCCAGTCACTAAAACAGCAGATTATCCTACAATATAACAATCTCTGATGCAGGGCATCATTTCTAATTTGTTTTGCTAATTTTCTCCTTATCCTGAATGTGCTGATTCTGGTAGCGTAATGTTCCGTAAGCACAGGCCACTAATACCTCAGTAGCTATTTATCCATTGCGAGTGTTCGGCCCTGGTATTCAAAACCAAATTGACTTGGGCTACAATGTCGCAGCTTCGCTTTCACTGCTGCACCTCCAACTTGAAATATAAAAGCAGTATGTTCATCTCTATGCACAATACACAACTGATACATGTTACAGAAGGGAATAAAGGAAAATACATTCCAGAAACTGCTATCTGGATGGTGGGGTTAATGTCAAGGTTAACGTCCAGTTAGTTGTCCATTGATTCATGTGATAAGGCGCTATAAGGTGCTATAAGCAAATGCAAGGATTATTATTGTAAATGTTGATCCATTTGGCTGAATTAGATAGTTTTCTTGTTTTTTTTGCTGCTAGCAAAACCATATATCGGGCCTGCATATTTAATGTATTTTTTGTTCTCGTGTGGTACTTTGATACCTTGGATATATTGATGTATTGGTCTAAATAGAAGCAACGAGAAAGAAAGACCAGAGCAGTGTAATTGCAGGGGTAAGCAAATACTGTTCAATTACTGTCCTCTTAGAAATATCTTGAAGACATCTGTAGCAACTTATCTAAAACATTGAGTATCCTGTAGCATTTAATTGATCTGTTTGTAAAGGAATGCAGATAATTCAGAACATGATGCAGATTCAAATGAAATTGATGGAAGCGTGTTCTTGGAGTGAACTCAGTAGTGTTAATTATTCAGAATCCCTAGCCCATTCAGTACAGAAGTCTGTACAGCTAGTTTAAACCTCGTCTGCACTATGATTCAGCATATTATTGCTGCTTAGTCACTTTCACAGAATCTTAACAGAATCCTTTCAGTACAATTATAAATCTGCAGGAACAGTACTTAGTTTGCCTAGACCATAAGCAAAACATTTTCTCTCCACCTCAAAGAGGAGTAATTCACAGACTGATGTAAGAGAGGTGAGCAGGATCATAGGATTATACTTAGGAGTTAAGAAGCAAAAAACACAGCTCAATCAGATTCTGAAAGGGAAGTGGGCATTTTTTTCTGATATGACCCTTCAAATGCTTTTGAAAGTTTTCTGCAGATTTATATTTTCTAAATGCACATGACAGTGTTTTTCAGATTTTAATCCACTGCACGCCAATTACCTCCATTGGATCGTAATGCTACCCATCTTGAGCAAATCATATTAGAGACAATTCTTTTCAATCACAGAACTTCATTGAATTTAAAAGTGCAGGTACTTGTGTTTGCTTTTGAGGTGCTGTAGATATCCCGCAGTAATGAGGGTCATAATATAGTTCAATATACATTCAAAAGCAATTAGGATTGCATTATTGCTTTGTGCAATTTATGCACAATAGCAATGAAGGGTACAGTGTTCTTTGGCGAAGTAGAGTAACCAGGTATGACAAATTGTATAACAAATACAATTTTTTTGCACCTTTAAGCAATTTTTTGGTGAGGGGAGGAGATTATTTATATTCATTTCCTATTGTATCTTGTCAGTCGGCTCTTAATCCTTTGTGAGATTCTGATTTAATTTATAGTTTAGTATTTGGGACGAAGTTATTGAGAGAATCCTATTCTACATTGAACACAACACTGAAATAAATGTTTACTTTATTATTTTCTTGTACTTATACTTGTTCAAGTAGGGGCATTGGCTCACAGGACACGTCTACACTCTCGTGTGTCTGAGCCAGACTAGTTGTTGAATCAACAATATGGCCTCAGAGACAATTCAACCCAGGAGAGACTCTGATTCTTTACCCAATTCATTTATAGAAATTGTACACATTGTATCAGCCTCAAGAGGATGAAAAACTGAACCCATCAGGGTTCAAACCTAGAATCATTTGCTCAACTGCTGAATTACCCAAGAACTTAATTTTATTAATCTCTTTGGATAAAATACTGTAGTAGCAATATTTCAAAACTGGTGTTAGAATTCACTGGTATTCTGTGTAGAAATTCATGCCTCAGTTGGTTCATTAATGTAATTCCTTATTCCCTCAGCAATTTGTTTTTAAAGTGTGACTTCAGTTTGCCCTTTATTCCAAACTCAATTCATGCTGATTCTACCAATTGAGGATGGTGGGGACTGGCGATGTTATTAGGGTGCATTACCTTAGCCATAATTGAGCAGTGAGACAATTGTACTGGGATCAGTACAGTCTGCGAATCATCATGGAAAAATAATGAGGGGAGATGAGGAGATGATGAACATTATGAGCAGCTAGCCTCTCAAGTACCAACCGTAGAGTATCTGAATAACAAATGTAGATTTAATACATGAAGCCAGTTTAAAAAATTTTTTTAAAAAAGTGATGTGTTTTTAAACCATACTGTATGGTTACACTGATGTTATAACCCAACCCTTACAATGTTTTAATGTTTTAAAACTCATTGTGCAGATTAATCCTCAAATCGTTTTGAATCCTGCTTAAAAAGAGGAGGGGTGGAGGTCAGTTGACAAGGACATTGGAAAATGTACAGTGTCTTGTAGGCAGTAATATTGGCAGCATTCTGCAGATTTGACACTGGTTAGGTATTTCAGCCATTCCAAGACTGGGGTGAATGCATACTAAGTGCATTTCTCAGATTGTTCAAATGTTTAACACAAATCGCTATTATGAACAGAACTCAAGATGAATGCAGACTATTATTCATAGAACGGCTGTCTTCAAGTTCAATTTATTTTTGAGTGGGTGTCTAAATATGCAGGCACATGGCAAGCTTAGCCCATGTAGGGAGTTTGGCCAGTGTCCTCAATATTTGTACATTTTGGAGGTGGCGTGACTTGGGAATTCTCTGCAGGAAACGAACAATTCTTCCAATATCTTCACCCTGTTGCTTTTCAGCTGAGGCATGCTGAATGAAACGGGTTGACTTTAGACCTCGTCCCATAGTTTACATCTTAAGGATGAATTGCATTCCAGAAAGTTATATAGCAAGTTGCCTGTCTTTTTTAATTAAAAAGTGAGCTCTGTTCAAATGTTGATTTAACAATCCTCTTAATGAATTGTGAGAGGAACCTTGTTCTGTAACACTACTCAAGTGCATTTTTGTCATGATTCCACCCATTCTATTATTTTTTAAGTGAGTCATGTCAGCCCATGAGTGGGATTCTGATGAAATTATTCCATCACTGTATCACCGCCTTGTTCTAACTAATGGGGGGAGGGGGATTCTCATGTGTCTTCTCATTGAAAACAGGATCCTACACAAACAGGATTTCATTTTCTCCCCCGAAAGTTCATGTCCTCCAAATCTCCAGGGCAACAACTCGATAATGGAATACTGGGTACTTGGTAGTGAAGTGGAGATCGTAATCTAATCGAGCAGCTTAGATGGTTTATATAAGAAAGAGTGGATATCTGGGAGTACGACATACTGAAAGCAATGGTTGAGAAAGGGAGAGAATAATTATCTTTAGAATGAATGTACACATCCCTCCATGGCCTCATCCTCACCCAACTTCTGTGAACTCCTGCAATCGTATTCTCCCTGCTGCTCCCTCAGTTCTGCTAAAGCCAGCCTGCTTCATGTCTCTCACCTGATTCTCCCCAGCATCGGTGGGGCGAGCTTTCAATCTTTCCATCCATGCTCTCTATCCCCTTTCTTCCAACCTTTAAAGCCCAGTTTAAGGCTTGTTTGTTTTGATAATGCTTTCGGTCACCTTCCACCTCCCCCACCGTCCTCAACTGTGAGGCGCTTTGACACGTCCTGATATGAAAGGCACTATATAAATGTGGAACTGTATTTCAGCAAAAAACAATGCTTGAAGAGGGAAATCTAGCAGAAATAGTCTTTTCACCAGCTTTTCACCAAAAGTAACAATTCTAAGCTGTGCTGTGTAATTCCAAAATTCCAATGTACGTTCTGTGATTTAAAATAGATTTGACATTTCTGCAGACCATAATAACATTGCTGGTCATAACAATAACTAACCTGCTCAATTTTTTACCACTTCTCATTCTGTCTGTTCCAGACTTACTGTATAAATCATGCGTCCAAGACAAAGAGGATTGAATTTGGGACTTATTCTCCTAGCAACTGAGATATTCCGCGTGGGAATTGAAAATGTTCCACCTGTTACCTTGCTAACATTGGGGCTGAATATCTTCTTATTCTTATCCCCAATGAAGCCATTACTGGGGACCTGCATCAGCTTGCACAATACGTGGTATAAACAGGATTGGAGCCGTCTTTTTTATTCACCATTTCACCATGCAGATGACTGGCATCTATATTTCAACATGGTTTCCATGCTGTGGAAGGGGTTGAAGCTGGAGAGGAAGCTTGGCAGCAACTGGTTTGCTTATATGCTGTTGGTTTTCTCAGTAGTGACTGGGCTAACTTACTTATTGCTGGAGACCGTCCTGGTGGAACTGACAAAAGACAGTTCCTACACATTGCAGTGTTCAGTGGGTTTCTCAGGTACCAACATTACTTTCTTATTTTGGAGTGAATATTTGTGCTTATCAAAGTAAATGATGACACCATACACGGAACACTGTCCCACCTTGTTCAGGCATGCGTGCCTAGGCAAATTATGTGCTTTCTTGGAGAATAAGCTGACGTTCCAATGCAGTGCTGAGGGAGCACCGAATTGTTGGAGGTGCCGTCTGGATGAGATGTCAAACTGATACACTCTGCCTGCTGAAGATCTCATGGCACTATTCAAAAAGTAAAGGGAGTTTCTCCCAGTACCTGGCCAATAAATCCCAGAAATGTTTTTAAGCAATGGCAGAGAAACTGACTAATGACTTGGCCTCTGGGACTAGGACGTGCAATGTAGACAACTACATTAACTATTTGCCCTGTGATGTTTAAAGTACTGTACATTTGCATAACGATGGAAGAAAACATTGACCATCTTTAAATCAATACTGTTTTATTTCTTGCTTCAGGTGTTTTGTTTGCTCTGAAAGTAGTGAACAACTATTACGATCCTTGGGACATCAGCTACATCATGGGTGTTCCTATAGCGAGCCAGTATGCCTGTTGGATTGAGCTAGTACTGATCCATTTGATTTCTCCAGGGTAAGTATCAGTCTGTAGCACAGTGAATTTCTGTTTGTGAGATATTGCTTGTGCGGATTATCAACCCAACGAATTGGAGGTCTACGTTTGCTAACAGAATAGCATCGCTAAAGTAATTCATTGTGTGAAGGGTTTTGACAAGTTTTGAAGTGCTAAGAAGCTGCATCAAATGTAAGGATTATTTATTATTTATCAGGAGACTGATTTTAAATACTGATTTTAAGCACCCTAAATTAAGAAAAAATCTTTGTTACTTCAAGACTACATTCAGTACTCGTAGTGCAAGTTAACTTAAAGGTTCAACGTGTCAAGGCAGCGGTAACACAAGTTGTATTAAAGTACCACCAACAATTTGATTACCTAACTAACTTTCCATGTACAACGTCTTGTGACAAAATCTACTTTAAAAAAAATTATATCGCACTAGAAACTACTTTCTCTGGTTCTATATCTAAAAATGTGCCACTTCAGTTCAGTTTGTAAGACCAAATAAAAAGCATTTGGCTTTACTCTGTATTTATAGGAGGGATTTATGAATATTGTATTTAAAGAGATATAGTTGAATTTTCATACCCGTGACTTTACACAACATTTCCTCCTAAAAGCATGACTTATATTTGCCATGACTGCTGTGAATATTGATTAAAAAAAATATGCAGTGACAAATCTGCAGGCCTGTTAATAGTAGATGTGTCAGTTCCAGACAAGCATGAATATTGTCTCTTTTCAGGATTCACTTTAAAGGAGAAAGAAACCAGTTTGGTTGTTCTTGTAACTGGTATTTCAGGTTTTATCTTTTTTTATTGTGTTTTTTGTAACCTTGCGTTAGAAATACCCATGGGGATATATCCAAGGGGCAGAAACATTCAATAATGCTGCCATAATAAGGAATTGGGATTGTCAGAATAATGACAGTACAGGCGGTGTTCAACCAGAGTCAATTGCTGAAAAACTTTTTTTTAACCTCTTTGTCTTTATCAGGACTTCTTTTGTTGGTCATCTAGCAGGCATTATTGTTGGGATCATGTATACCAAAGGACCCTTGAGGTACTTGATGAAACTTGTTGGAGGTAGGTTTCAACATCAGAATTTAGTTTTCACTTTCCAAATTGTAATTTGACTCTCCAGCTAATTAATCAATGTGCAGTCGCAGTAATCTTAGATCATCCAGCACCGTGCCTGTGATCCATCGAAAAATGGCATTACAGTATGCGGTTGGGAAGAAATTTCCACAGAATTTTTGGCCTGTCATTTGTAAAGGTGAAAGGGATTGATTATTTTACAATTAACAATTTTTTTTAATAATCAGGTTTCTGTGATTGACTAATAGTCATATTTTCCTTTCCTAAATATCAAATTATGTACTATGGTAGAATCCAGGTATAACTGATGTTGTTATAATGCAGGTTCACTTGATTGGGGTGTGTTCTCTGACATTTATGTAGCTAAAAAAATATAAAGTCCGCTCCACCAGCGCTTAAAACTCTGGCCAGTGTACGGGAAGCCAAAATGGCCAGGTTATTGGGGTGCTGCCGATATCACTTCCTGCATGACAATTTTGCTCCACTGTAACACTGGTTGGGATTTTATGGAGCCTGAACTATCACGTCATAACGAACTCTATTATGACTCCTTCCACCCACCTTGCAATTAGTTGCTTGAGTTTCCAGTAAGAACAGATTGGTTCCTGGACTGCCAACTAGAACTTTTTGCTGACCTTGAGACATGGGGCATGTTTCCTCTGATTTTATTTCAACCACGAGGAAGGTTGGAATTTCACAAGCAAAACATAATTGCAGGATGATTCTTTGGCTAGTTATTAGCATATCGTATCATATTGTATCATATTGTATTCTGAGGATATGACTTGCACAACATATCCAGTAACCTTGATTGAACATTAATTCATCTTCATTATTTGACAGGTATATTTTCAACACACGATTATGCTAGAAGTCAAGTCTACTACAGGGGCCAAGGTTAGTTTGCGACTCAATACCATACTTGATTTCCTAACTAGGAAGTGGGGTGGAATACGCAAATTAACATCTCTTAGTTGCTCGTCTCCATTGGCTGAGATCGCAAACTCATTATTTGAACCATCGCCCTTAAAATTCATGTGCTACTATACCCGTCGCATTGAAAACTGGCCATTGTGAACACATGCCGTTGAAAAGCAGACGCCCATTGGCGTACTGCAAATCAGAAATTACATTATTTTTCCCATCATTTTGTCTGATGGAATATTATTTGTTTTTTGCATTTTTCTGTAATCAGCATAATACAATATATTTAGTAAAGGTGTAGAAAGTAGACACAGTGCAGAAATTATACAGTTTCTCTGTGAGGAGTAAATAGTAGGAAGGCATTTTATAGGGGGAGGTGAAAGAGAATAAGAAAGCTGTGAGGGTACCTCAGATAATGAGCAAAGTATCGCCTCACTGATCGTTGCACAGAACTAGATTAGCCTATCATGGGGTTTCAGTCAGTCCAAGTCAGAAATTGTGTCAAACGAAATGTAATATAAAGTGAATCGCACACTGAGAATTATAACTTCCTGTCAATCAGTGCAATTCCCTAGATGACCGACTGTAGTCATAGGTCATTCATTATCTTATTGTATTAGAACTTTGTAGAATCTCTAGGGAATGGAGAGCAATGAGAAGCTACTAAAGTGCAAACACTATGAATAATGTAAAAAAAATCTACAAAAGGCTTTGATAGACTAAAATTTTTAGTGAAGGCAAGCCAATCGAATCACAAATCAAAGGTTTAAAAATTTTATGTGGTTTTTATTCCATATGAATTGAAGTTCCACAATCTTCATTTATAAATTAGAAATCATACTTGCATTTGATATACTGCAATACCTGACCACAGTGAATAGTTTCTGAGAGTTTCACACAATGAGTTACTTTGAAATGTACCGATTGTCGTTAATTAGGCAAAAGTTGCAGCTAATCCACATCCCTACAAATGGCAATGAGTTAAGTAGCTCACTTGAGGAATAATAATTCCTACATTTGATACAGTGCTTTTCGAGTCGGGAGGACATCTCTAAGAACTTACAGGATATACTGTGAAGAGTCACTGTATTTTGGGGGCCAACGCAGCAACCAAATTGCACCCAGCAATGTCCAACAAACAGCCATGAAACAACCAATGTTATTTGGGGGAATCATTGTTCAGGACTCAATATAGGAGAAACGTCCTTCTCTTTCGAATAGATGCCGGTAAATAAAAGTCCAACTTCCTGCTCTAGATAATACTCAACAAAAATTCTGTTTCTGTGAACTGCAGGGTATGCTGGTTACAGGACTGCTGATAACTATGGTCCATACGAAAATGACTACTCAAGAGGCCTGTCTGAAGAGGAACAGTTAAATGAAGCGATTTGGGACAGCCTTCGTGACAATGGTAAGCTCTTGTCACTATAGAGACTCCTCTGGGTCCACCTTATTTCCACTTTTAAATGCAATAATTCTAAGAACCTGGTGTAAGGCATTGCAGGAGACTTGTGTATCGAGGTTCAGCATAAGGGGCATCATTTTACCCTCCTGCCTTAAGGTAGGCTGTTATCATTTTTAAGAGAGGGCAGATACGCATGTTTTTTAAAGCTTGGCACAAACATTTTTCATCAAATGATTGCATAGTTCTGAATAAAAATGTACAATAAATTCAGTAAATTGCATCGACCAGTTAGTTCAACTGTTGGGAGATTGGTTGTCGGAAATCTAATGAGCAGTTTTTCTTCTGCCCGCCCAACCCAAGCCAGATGAAGAAAATGTTCTATTCTCTTTGTAGCTGATTTTTTTTAAAAAAAGGATCCTCTTTAAAGCTGGAAATATTTTTAGCGTTTACTCTCTGTAATCATCAGAGACACACAGTTAACCTGCAGACGTTTGCAGTCTCCTGGGTTCTGCTTCTGCAATATTTTAACACACACAAGTGGTTCACAGGTCAGTGCAGCATTAGTTCACCAAGACTGAAGTAAGCAACGAGTTGATGGGGATCAAATGAACAATGGCAAATGTGGAATTCTGAAATAAAATCACAAAATGCTGGGAAAGACAGCAAGGTCAATCAACACCTGAGAGAGAAATATAGGTTAATGTTTCAGGTGCGACCCTTCAGAAGCATTCTGAAGATTGCTGAAGAAATTGATTTAATGTGTCATATACAATGCAAGTGCTGTGTTCTCTTTAGCCTACTAGTCTAGTGAGTCTTGCATCCCAGCTGTGTCCTCCTTTGGCTTATGAATAAGATCACCTTCTTTCCTGGCAATTCCAGTCCTTTCTTCATTTAGGTATACAGCAACCAGGGCTCCGTCAATGGTTCACCAATGATGCCCTAAATTATTTATGTTGGTAGCATTGACAGTGGAGGTCACAAAAGGCCAAAAAGTGAATTTGTCCAAAATTTGAACAAAATTGTTGACTGCTGCAAACTTTGCTACAGGTTTGACACTCCTTTTATTAAAAGAAATCCTGTTCACCTTACACTGCATACAGTTTGTAATGGGCTGAACCAGATGCTGGTCAGTACTAACCCAGGCTGTGACCTGATTTTAAATGTAATTTGTGTAAATATAGTTTGGGAATAGGATTGGAAGACAGAGAGTGCAGCTGACCTTGGGCTTCACGTAATAGCCTCCTCTGGAAATATAGGTGGGATGAAGTCCATAATAGGGTAGGTTGTGCATGTCTGCGGAAGGAGTGGGGTGTATCACCTTTTCTCATTTTTAGTAATATGTTGGAGGTGACTACGAGTGGGGACAGTCTCCATCTTGAAAGAGCGAATGGACAGCTTGGATTTCATTACTTAAATCCAAAGGTGCATATGCGATTGATTCCTTGAGGGCATCGTGGAAGCAAATATGAGAAAGAGCTCGATAGAGTTTTAGCAAGGAACAAACTGAAGAATACAAAATAGTATTCTTTAACTTGGTGACCAGACAGATAATAATAATCCTTGAAATTGAAAAGATAGAGCCTTATCATATTGTCGAGATGTCTCAATACACCTCACAAAATATATTGTAAAGTGAATTTACTGTGTATTTGTGGGTGAAACGTGGCAGCCAATTGCGCACCGCAGTGTCCCACACACTGTCGTGGATTCAGTAACCAATTTTTTAAAACAATTTTGGATGGATTATTACCCCCGGAAAGCGATCCACCATTCGACTAACACCTGGGTTCCGAATTACTGCCGGATAAACAGAGGCATGTGGAGTAAGGAAACTTGCCTAAGGTTTTGCTTCACCCAGGAATCCAACCCGGGTCCTCTCACATAAGAGGCAAGGATTATTTATTGTTAAGTGCTCTAACCTAGGTTGCGGGACTCCAGTGGACTGCAGATGGACTGCAGAAGTCTTTTCCTATCTTGTGTTTTATCTCCATGTCTATCAAGCAACAAAGTCAAATGATGGCCGACCTCTGGAAGTTACAGGTAGCGCTCCGAATACTATCCGTAAAATCCCAGGATAGTGCTGTGTTCTGAGAAAGTAATTTCCATCACAGTTTGTGAATTTATTTCAAACCCTCTGTCTTAATACCTTGTATTATGTGTTTTTCCACAAGTATTATGAAGGAAGTAATACTGATCCAATTCCAGTCTCATTGTTTCCCTCCTCGGCCACATTAGTGATGGATCATCTGGAAACTTTATACTAAAACCTTATTTGATTGCAACCACTTCAAGGTGGTATACAATACATGTAGATGAATACCGAGTTACCAGCACTTCCTTTGATGTGCGGGGCCTGTGCACCTGCTGGGTGAGGCATTCTTTGATCATGTGTTGGGGTTAGCCTTTCACATCAGCCTTTTTGAGAACCACTTGGCAGCTGGACTATTAAAATGTACATTTATCTGATAGTTCAATGGAAAAAAATGCCCAGCAGCAGTGATTCAGCTTTCAACAGCATCGTAAAAGCAATGCCACATAGCCCAGATGTCAAGTAAATTTTATCCTAACAATTTCCTTTTGGAGATGATGTAATGACATTGGACCAAGAAATCCTCAAAGCTGTGTTCTATTTACAAATAAATCAAATTAACAAATTGAGCCCTATTTTGGAATCCATACCTGCTGAATCTTACATTAAACCAAGAGCTATCTAAAATCAGCACTTGAACTCCAGGATGGGACTCCAGTGCAGAACTGGAGGTAGCACTTTGTTGACTGCAGCAGGAAATAGTAATGATTGAGAAGCAAAAACACAGATTTATTTAGGGACTAATGGCTTTTCCTTTTCCTTCCTGTCTCGGTGAGTAAGACGAGAGCTAAAAATGTTAAATTGTTGGATAGAAAAATAGGCAAAGATCTGAATTATGTGGTGGAAGTTGTATGTATTAAGTCAAAGCCCGTGAACTAGTGGGGAACTTTGCTGTTGTTATGATGTATAATGAAGGCGGAATATGTTTGCATGAGAACATAAACAGCATGGAACAAGAAAAGGGTAATTAGCTCATCAAGTCTGCTCCTTCTACACTCTGCCTGCAAAATGCCATCTTCCCCAAGCATTTCATTATTTGAGGGAGTGTTCTTACAGTTTTAGAATGCCCAACCCCTCCAAATATATCCTGCACCTTGATCAGCACACACAACAACTTGGATTTATGTAGCACCCTTCACGCAGTGTAACATCTCGCAGCTATTAAAACTATTAAAAAAAAACTAAATTCGTTTTTTTTAAAAAACACAAGTCTGTGCAGGTTTGTGTTGATAATAAAATGAAGCTGGGAGAAATCTGGTTGGAGGCAATAAAGAGAGAACCTGGGTGGAGTTGAGAAAGAGTGGGGGAGGTTAATGACAATACTGCCAAACTATACTTCCCAGAGTTTCCATGTTTCTCGCATGCAAGTTCTGTGCAGCCGATGTCTGCAAATATTGGATGGGGTGTGGGGGAGGGGATTTTCTTCAGTGCTTTTAAATACAAGATTAAAAATGTAATAGAGTTGAGTGAGGTCAACCAGTAATACTAGGTAACAGACAGGAAAGCTTATACTGTAATATGAATGTGATAGCCAACAGGCAAAAAAAAAGACTTAAAGGCTTATTAGCTGTCTTTTGTTCCCAAAACCTCTTGAGCTAATTTGAGAAGTCACCCTTAATGGAAGAATCCGACTTATTCTCTGTTGGTCGGTATATTGACCAGCAATCATGGAATCATCCCGGTGCCCCATGTTCTGTTGTTTCAGTACCATTTGTGTTAAATTCCATTCTTGTGTTGAATCTTTTGCTGATCTTGTTCTCTAGTAGTTGGACATCACATGCTTACACTTGCAGACTGCCTGCCTCTCTGTTCTTATTAAAATGCATGTGTGTAGAATGTAGTTTTTTGCCTTCTAGGTAGCACAGATTTTTTTTCTGTTAATCTCTTTGTTCCATTTCCTCACTAATCAACTCTACCAATGACAAGGTTCAAATCCTTTTCTTTTTACGGCGACCAACTATTCATAACACAAAATGTTTGTGTTGTGACGAACGTACGTTTGGCCCGAGAGTATTTCAAAGTTAGTAAGTTAGTTAGTTAGTAATCGTCGCAGAATGTGCCCACTTATCACTTTTTATTTATTTTTCATTTTTACAATCTAGTGCATTTCAGCAGGTTTGAGTTCTCAATTCATTCAGGATTACTGAGAATTCCATTGGTCTTTCACCCTACTGCACATTTTTGTGATGAACAAACAAGCCACAGAAACTGCTAGCAGTCGGCAGTTAATCCCTGCTTTAGTTGCTAATCCAGCTCAACAATGCAGTGGTCACTGGCATACACTGCTTTGGCTTCGCCCTGTAGTGTTGTTTAATGCATCTCTTGGACAATAACTGAATCTGCTTATTGTGCTGAAGGCTTTGCTGACTGCATTGTCCCGGATTCCATTTGGATCTCCTTAACGTTCATCTACAGTGCCACCTGCTGGCAAAATGGAGGCTTGTTCAGATACCATTGATGATGAGAAAAAAATGAACACGTTTTTAGTAGTAGCATCTTATCACGCCAAAACGCAAACTGTGTTACCAATCAATGACTTACTAATCTGCACTAGCAAAGTACCATAAACTGCAATCTGTACATTGAATAATTTTTTGGTGAAATTTGGTTGAGGGAGAAATATTAGGCAGGAACCTACTCTTCTTCCATATAGCACCCTGGGATCTTTAAAACGCACCTTAACCACTGGCATACACTGCTTTGGCTTCGCTCTGTAGTGTTGTTTAATGCATCTTAAGAAAGTATCTGATGTGTGAATATTTAGTGTGTGTGTGTTACATCACCATTGTTTGTCTTTGTTTCGAGCTTATTTTGTGACTAAAGAAAGCCTAAGGATTCAATCATAACATCCACACTGGTTATCCAGACATTTGGTAGCCTCTAAGTCCATTTTCTTGTGGTGTTAATTCTGCATATC